TCCCACCACCTGCCACCGTCACCCACCCACCCGCCACCACCAGCTACCCACCACCCACCGTCACCACTTTCCACCGCCGTCTTCCGCAGCCACTTGCCACCACTTGCCATTTCTCACTCTTTTTTATATTTTAATTTTTTTTTAAACATTTTGTCAATTACCAAAAGCGTTTGTAGTTTATGTTTTTCTAAAAATAAACAAAAAATAAACAAAAACCAGTTTATAAAATTTTTGTAAATATAAACTAAAAACGTAAACGTTACCAAACATATTATATTTAGATTTCAGTTGTTTTGACAAGTAATGTTAGGGACACCAAATTTTCTACCAAACAAATGACCAAATGTCTCACATGGGTGTGGGGTCCGCAATTTTGTGGGCCCCACACCCATGTGAGACATTTGGTCATTTATTTGGTAAAAAATTTGGGACCTCTAGCATTTTCCTGTTTTGACACCTTTTTTTTTTTTTGGATAAATTTTTGCCTTTTATGGTTGGTTTGGGGCCCTGTAAAATGAGGGCAATTATATCATAATGGCAAATTTTGCTTGGATTTTAGGTTAGTGTCATTTATTAGTGGTTCATTGCCGACTAAAGAGAGGTCCTATGTTTTCTTGCATCGTGATGTTCACGAATGTTGTGCCCTTATGCGTTTAACACTTATGTTTTTGGATCATAATGATTTCTTTTCAATACACAAATTTAACCTATGTCTTTTGGTTAGATATTATCAGTAGCACTTCGTCACTGATTAAATACGCTCGAGTTTGCGTTCTTTTGGTTAGAGATTATAAGTAATACAACGGGAGTGTTTGATGGAGATTATTTTAAATTAAAAGTTGATAATCAAAAAGTATAAGTTAAAAACATTTCTTATCCAGCTTTTGAAAAATTAATTTTTTCAACTTATTTAATTTATTTCTACCTAATAAATTATAAATAAAAATTGCACCAAACAGTCTCGCACAAATTCTTATATTAAAATAGGCTATAAACTACTTTCATAATCTCCACCAAACACAAAATGTCGACCTCTCTCTCTCTCTCAATACCCAAACATTGAGTCATAGTACACAGAAGATCAACCATATAATGAGATATAGATGTCTCAAAACGAGTTGGATTTACATGTAGAACCCACCTTTGTAAGACTTGTATTCCTAGTATTGCTCCTTCCCAAATTGTTTCCTTACGCTTATTAACTTAGACAAATGTTAACAAGTATCTCTATACATTGAGTTGTTTTGGCAACATGCATAAAAAGTTAAAAGTCAACTTTTAATTTATTTTGATTCACATCACCTCTCACATGAAAAAGTCAAAAAGTCAATTTTCAACCATTTTCTCAAAACAACCCAATATTTAATGTTAGGAAGTGTGTATAAAATGCCTTGAAAATATATAAAACTATTAAAAATATATATTAATTTCAGTAAAAGTATATTAAATTTAGAGCAAAATATTTTACATTTTTTAAATTTTTTGTCTTTTATTTATATTCTGAGGGCACTTATTGGCGAGATCCATTAGCTTATTATGTGCAGTTGTTTCTTGAACTTCATGTTCAGATATTGGAATAGAAAAATACTATAGACTTTCCATACAGTTTAAAAAACAAAAAAAAAAAAAAAAAAAAAAAAAAAAAAAAAAAGAAAAGAAAAAGAAAAAGAAAGACTACTTAGCTATAATCTTTTTAAAATATCTCTATTAAATACCTTTTTAGGAATAAAATAATTTCATGTAAGGAGATGTTACTTTTTTAGAGATAACAATTAATCACTAAATATTTAATTTTATCACTAGAAATACAACACTTTTGTTAACTAAGATTCTCATCTCTAAAACATTATTTCATCTTTAAATTTTTATTTCTAAAATTTTAATTTCTTATAGTAATCACTGTGTAAAATTGTGAGAACTAAATTTTTTAAGAACTAATAGGTTTGAATTTTTTTTAATAGCAATAAACGTAAAATAGTGGCAAGAAAGACCCATTAACTTTTTCCTGATTCCTATTAAAATGTTTGTGCTTTCATGGATGCAATTACTATATGAATGCAATTATGAATAGGATTTTGTTTCCCTGTAAGTTAGCATCTTAACTCAAGTTGGCATTTCAATTTAAGAGAGTATTTGGATTTGATAGGTTTATTTTGAAATCAATTTTGATGATTTGAACTGTTTATCTTTTTAAACCCATTGAGTTAAATATTTATACAAAAAATTAAGATGATTGAATATCGCTAGTTATATATTTGAATCATATTTATTTTTAAAAAATAGACCACAAATATAGTTTTAAGAATAACCATCCATTTTTTGTAATATAAATTTAATTCAAACATATAACTACCGATGTCTAATCATTTTATTTTTCTGCATGAATATTCTACTCAACGAGTACTAGAAAGTGAACCGTTCGGATAATCAAAACGGGACCTATGGTGAGCTCCATGAATCTCTCAAGTTCTCTCATGTTGAGATCTCAATATAAGAGAAACTCAACCCTTATGAATATTATGGAAAGTGATTTTCAACATGTTATTGTTACATTGCACTAATTTATCACTCCTAAATGATCTTTAAAGATGTGGCATTGAGATTACACTCTACACAATGGAATGTTTGACAAAATTTGACACTTGTCAGATGCATCATTATGATAAATTAGGTGTCTCAAACATTTTTCTAATTACTACTTGTGCTCTGTTATAGGTGTCGCCATTGCCAGAAGTTTGCTCCAGAGGTAATGAAATCTCCGTCCTAAAATATTAGTCTCTCATTTTATTTTTCATTGTCTCAAAATATTAATTCCTTTTCAAAAATTAATAACTAAAATAACATAAATTTTTTATTTTGTCATTTTTTTAAATTTATTAACATTAATATTTTTTAAGTCTAATAATTATACTATCAAAGGATAGTTTTAGAAAGTTAATATTTTAAAAATGTAATAATTGTACTACTAAAAAAATTTGAATTCTCAAAAAAAAAAAACTAATATTTTAAGACGAAGAGAGTATCCAATTGAAAAATGATCCGAACCCCATCTTCCCCCATGACCCCCTCTGGCTGTGATCGGCCAATTTTTGTTTTTTCTTTTGTTTTGTTTTTTCTTCTCTTCCAATCACTAGCCCTCACGTGTGTGTGGTGGTGGGTGGTGATTGAAGGGGATCTCAATCACTTTTGTATCCAATTTTAGAGGGCGCATAGATAAGATTTCATCAAGTTGGGTTATCTATTGTTGATAGTAATATATATATATATATATATGGGGTAAATTATACTCACCTTATCTGATATTTAAAAAAATATACAACAATTTCTATAAGTTTGACATAATTATACCTAGGGCTGACCCTGAGATTTAGGGGGGCCAAGGCGAATTTTGAAAATGGAGCCTTTCTTACATTAAAAAAAAAAAAGTTTATGGATAAAACGATAAGTTAACACTTTTTTATTTGTTTGTAGCTACAAAAAAATTTACTTACACATATAATCATTAAAATTATAAATAAAAATTTACTTCTATATATTAAGAGAGGAAGCAATCATTACAAATACTCAAAAAATAAAAATATGGTTTTGTTGCTTTATAGTTTAGCAATATCCAGTTTACAATTGAACCAACTATCACATAAACATTACCCTTCTCACATTTTTATCTACAAAAAATATTAATGAAGCTTGTATAATCGAATTTATCCACCATATCCTTTTCAATGGATAATAAAGTCAATTTGTGGACTGTATTTCTTTTTTTTTTTTATCCCATATTCAATTGGGCCTATAGTATTTGTGCCTTTTTTTTTATATCTAAAACACAAAAATATATTTGGGAGCCCCTATTTTTAGCCAAATTTGGGGGCCCAAGGCGCAGGCCTCTCTTGCCTGCCCTCAGGGTCGGCCCTGTATACCGAGTTACCTTAATCTTTTAATTCATATAATATTTGGTCTCCCTTTCATTAGAAATTCTTTAGTCATATAAAACATATGATATTGTCTTTGACATTGTCTATCATTGTGTCTTCATGCAATATGCATTAGTTTGGTCTCTTTATCTTATTAAAAGTAAAATCAATATTCACTGATCAAAAAAAAAGAAGATAAATCAATATAATTATATCGAAATTATAGAACTTGTTATATTTGATTCAAGTGAAGGGAGGTCATTGTAATTTATCATAATATACATACACTTCATCCACTGACAATGTATAATGTATGTCTTCATTGATTTGCATGCAGTATGAGAAAGTTGCATCTTTGCTGAGTAGTCATGATCCTCCAATCACCCTAGCAAAAGTTAATGTCGATGACGAGAAGAACACAGGACTTGCAAGTGAATTTAAGATTTCGGGTTACCCAACAATTAAGATCTTCAGAAATGGAGGGAACCATATTCAAGATTACGAAGGACCTCGGGATGCTAGACGTATTGTTGCTTATTTAAAGGTGCTAAGCGGCTCTGCTTCTGCTGAAATAGAAGATTCCACAGAAGATTACGATTTCGATATGTACATTAACGTGGTATAAATATACAAAAGAATAAAAACAATATAAATAAATAATATATTATGATAGGAGAAATATGGTGAACCACTTTAAGAATAAACGTTTCGCCACTTTATGAGGGTTTTTTTTTAATTAATATTTTAGGGTGTCTCTTGCCTAACCCAGCCCAACTAGACCCAAGTTAGTCCTATAATGAAAGTTACAAACCATTATGTTATGTTATGAATGTGTGGGGATATATTTTCTGAGTACCAACACGTGGCATGGTGACGCCGACGTGTCAGCCGACGTGCCACATGTCGTGGTAATTATGCCGAGGTTATCATGGATAGACCGAGGTTGACTCCGAAGATATCGGAATCCAAGATAAGCGGATAAGGGACAAAAGTCCTAGAATGAAGAGGGAACTCAACTTAGTTATGGACAAGAGTCCTAGAGAAAAGAGAAGACTTCTGTTGAGATAAGGATGAAACTCTTAGGGAGTTTATCTTTATCTCTTGAGGAATCCAAAGTAAGTACTAAATTGGAGTCCATAGAAGTCAGGCTTCTAGTAGGTGCTTTATTACAATGGACATTTTACACTTCATAATTTTTCATATACAATAATTATTAAGTAAACAAAGGAAGTAGTAGAAGTTTGAGTCAGAATTCGCAGGTACTTTAATTTGTATTGGTCGTATTAATTGATTTAATTTGTATTGATTATATTTAAGCTTGAATTAGATTTAATTTGTATTGTCTTGCATTGGATAATATTTTACTCTTTATTTTTGGTATGTTTAAATGTTAAAGACTTGTTTATTTCAATTTGGGTGAAATATTAATAAATCTTAAAATGTGATCTTATGAACTAGTTTCTTATCACCCCAAAATTTAGTCCCATTAAAATGAAAATTGTACAAAAGGGTAGTCACTTACATGATTGGGTTTAATTTTTCAAGGATAAAAGTAGGTTTCTTCAAATGTAAAATTATACATTTAGGCAACCTACACCATAGAAGTTTTGGATTTTCTCTCCATTCGGAACAAATCTCACATTACGAACAAAAATGTAATACTCTAATGTAACACTCCAATAACATAACACTTCAATGTAACACACTAAAAAAAAATTTAGTATATTTTTTCTAAATGTAATAACGTAACACTAAAAAAAATTCATTGATGTACTTTTTCCAAACGTAACACTCCAATGTAAAAAAAAAAAAAAAAAAAAAAAAAAGTACTTTTTCTAAATGTAGTATTTTAATAAAGCCCCTCAGCACACCAGGAGTGGAAGGCACTCACACCGACCTTCCAGGGAAGTCGGACGAGATGAGCCGAGGCAAGAAGAGTCCCGAAGGACACATCGAATGAAGGATCCAGGGCCCAAAGAACATCGGCATGTTCAAGGGCAAGCACTCTGCTTTGACACAACCCATGGAGAAAGATCGAAACGGGCCCACCACGAGGCCGAAAGTAGTGTGCCAAAAAGATTGAAGTCCAGAGATAGCCGAGCTCCAGGTAGGAGTAAGGAAGACTTGAGGGATTACCTCAAAAGGAGGCAGCTGAATGTTGAAGCCGAGGTGACATCCCCAGTTAAGCCGAGAACATCGTTCTCAGTGGAACTGGACAAATTTGAAGCATCAAAGAGGTTTAGTATACCAAGGTTCCAAATTTATGTTGGTAAGTCAGATCCCAACTTTCATGTTGGACTATACCTGAACTCAATGACATTATACAGTGGGAACGAGCCGTTGCTCTGCAAAGTATTTCCCTCATCCTTTGGGGAAATTGCATCTGATTGGTTCCATAAACTACCGAAGGGAAGCGTAAAGATATGGGAAGGCCTGACCGAGATGTTTGTGGCCAGGTTTGTAACAAACAAATTACAGCCCTTGAGGGTCGACGCCCTGATGGCTTTAAGAATCACCAAGGAAGAAAGCCTTAGGGCCTACGCGAAGAGGTACTACGAGGTGTTCAATCGAATACCCGAATGCAACCAAGAAATGGCGGTCGTGTCTTTCAAGAACGGCCTAAAAGATGACTGCCCACTACGGAAGTCTTTGGCAAAAACATTGCCAAAAAGCATGGAGGAACTCATGGCGAGAATCGAGAAGTACGCCAGAGCCGAGGAAGATACGTCGGGAAACAAAGAGATGAAGCAGGAGAAGGGAAACGGCTCGCCGAAGCGAGGCCGAGGTACCAACGGGCCGTCCAAACAAGAAACAGAATTGAAGGGTAAACAGGCAGTGACGACGGTGTTCCGAATCCCTATCCATAAAGTCCTGGACCAAAGACGAAATCAACCTTATTTCAGGGCATCGGCAAGAGCACCAGGAGAATTTATGAGAAGAAACGTTGGTAGGCGCTGTGCTTACCATAATGAAGAAGGACACCCAACTCAGGGTTGCAGAGCCTTAAAAGCACACTTAGAAGACCTAGTAAGGCAAGGCCATCTGAGGGACCTTGTTGATGAGGCCAGGACAAGAGAAGAACAGGCAAGATTGCCTCAAGCACTAACAGCACCGCCTCCCCCAGCACAGCAACCACAGGCAGGAGGACCAAGGGTGGTTAATCACACTTCGACTCACTTTGCCTTGACTACTACTCATCACCAGCCACATACTCAACTTTCTCCAGGTCTCTCTTCTACACCTTCACCAACCTACACACTTCATGATATTGAAGCCATTGTGAAAAAGGTTCTTTCTACTTCTACCTCTACATCTACCTCTGGTACACCCTCTACTGCTCTCTCAGTCACTCTAAGTACCTCTTCTTGGTATTTTGATTCAGTTTTGGTCATTTGAGCCACTTTTGAGCCACAAAATTTGAACTACGTAGCATTGTCGTATAATATAAATAGTAAATATGAGTGCCACTGGAGCAGAGTAATAAACATCTATTTATTTCTTTCTGTTTTGCAAGTTATACCAATTGAGAAGCGAGAGGTGATGCATGACACAGAGGAAAATATGCAAAGCATAGAAAGCTTGATACTCGAAAGTAAGTACCCTCCGTTTCAAAATGATTGTCTCTTTCGGATAATTTAACTTTTTTTATAATATAATTATTACATTTTAAAAATATTAATTTTTAAAAATTATCCTTTAGTAATATATTTTTTTGAAAATATCAATTGTCATAATTGTATTTTTTGCGTTATTAATAAATTTAAAAAAATGACAAAATAAGAAATTCATATTATTTTAGTCTTTGATTTTTAAAAATGGACTAATATATTGAAATAATAAAAAATAGAATAAGGGACTAATATTTTGGGACGGAGGGAGTAAAAAATTACAAAATTACAAAAGGTTAAAAAAACTCAAAATATCACATATTACACATTAATGTTTTATTTTTTTTCTATCACAACTATCTATTAAACTAAAAAAAAAAAAAAAACTACAAACCATTCCAAACACAACTCTTTTTCATTTTGTTAGCCGTATATATCTATATTACCATATTGTGTATTATCATATTGTGTTTTACCATACTTAACTTTTCCTTCTATATTATGTTTTACTATACTTAGCTTCTTCTTCTCCTATATAAAAGAGTCTTGTACTCATATTCATTCATTGAAATATACAGAGTTATATTCTCTCTCTCTCTCTCTCTCTCTCTCTCATCTTTTGTTTCTCTCTTTTCTCAACAAAGCCTGCCCCAAAGACAGCTTTCCTCTGCCCAAGATTGAGCAGCTCGTAAACGCTACTTTAGGGCATGAAAGGATGAGTTTTCTGGATGCATACAGGGCGTACCACCAGATTGCCATGTACCCTCCAGACGAGGAGAAAACCACGTTCATCACCCCTAAAGGCCTGTACTGTTACAAGGTAATGCCTTTTGGGTTGAAAAACGCAGGAGCAACTTACCAAAGGTTAGTAACAAAAATGTTCAAGCACCTGATTGGCAAAACGGTAGAAGTCTACATTGATGACATGGTCGTGAAGACCAAGAAATCTAAGGGTCATCTTGCCGACCTAAAAGAGGTCTTTGATATACTCAAAGCATACCAGCTCCGACTCAACGCATCAAAGTGCGCATTTGGAGTTGGATCAGGTAAGTTTTTAGGGTATCTGGTAACGAGAAAGGGCATTGAGGCCAGCCCAGACCAAATCAAGGCCATCCTAGAGCTGCAGAGCCCGACGTCGGCAAAACAGGTTCAGATGCTTACTGGAAGGGCCACAGCCCTAAACAGATTTATCAGCAGAAGCTCAGATAAATGTAGACCCTTCTTCAACCTGGCGAAAAAAGCCACAGACTTTCTGTGGACAGAAGAATGCGAAGCCGCTTTAACCGACCTAAAGAAGTACTTGACCACAACTCCGGTTCTTTCCAACCCAGAACCAGGGGAAAAACTGTTTTTGTACTTGGCAATTTCAGAACACGCAGTAAGTGCAGTACTAATCCGAGAAGAAAAAAAGGAGCAAAAGGCTGTTTATTATGTTAGTAAAACCTTGGCCGATGCAGAAACAAGGTATCTACCACTGGAGAAATTAATGCTAGCCTTAGTAATGGCTTCAAAGAAGTTGAACCATTACTTTCAGGCGCACAAGATTGTGGTCCTAACAGAGCACCCACTGAAGTCCTTGTTGCAACAAGGAGACTTAACAGGAAGGATAGCAAGATGGGCAGTAGCCCTAGGCCAGTATGACCTGGAGTTCAGGCCAAGAACAGCAATTAAAGGCCAAGTTTTGGCCGACTTCGTGGCAGAATTCACACCAGAAACCATCGAACATCGGGCTCCGTTGAGCCAGGATGAGCATTGTCCCAGCAAGCAAAAAGAATCCCAGCCTAGGGCAAAAGAGCAAAGGAAGGAAAAACTCAGACCCTGCAACATCTACATCGGCGATTCATTCAGACTGTTCGTCGATGGAAGTTCGAACCGACAAGGAGCGGGGGCAGGGGTACTACTAATATCTCCAGATGGAGAAATAATAGAACAGTCCATCCGTTTGGGGTTCAAGGCCTCAAACAATGAAGCGGAATACGAGGCATTAATTGCAGGGCTAAAACTGGCAGCAGCAGCAGAAGCAGATGAGGTAATAGTTTTTTGTGATTCACAACTTATTGTTAATCAGTCAACAAGTGAATTTGCAGTCAGGGATGAAAGGATGTTGGCATATGCAAAAGAGGTCATCAGGTTGGCAGCCCTATTTCAGAACTGCCGACTACTCCAAGTTAGCCGA